GGAAATTATACCTACTTTTAATATATAAATATTAATATTAACTAAGCGCTTTAAAATAAACAGGAAGTAAATATTATTTCAAAATTATTATTATTAAATATAAAAAATAATAATAATTATACTAAGGTTTTACTAAGTATATATTAAAAAAATAAAGTAAAGGCATGGTTAGCATAAGTAAAGGCGCGAGATAAAGCTAATAATTTTTTTAATTTAATTAATTATATAAAAAATAAAAAGTAAACTAAAAATAATATTAAATATTTTTATATAAACTAAAAAAAACCCTTACTTATAATTTATTATTTAAATTATGCACTTGCTAGTATTACATAAATTTATTAAACTAGTTATAAAAATAAAATATATAATACTACCCTAGTATATTACCATGTTAACTAACTATTAAATACTTAAAATAATAAAAAAAGGCACCTAAAAAAAATTAATTATTATATATTATAACCTTATGCCCGGCCCTACCTTTTTATTTAGTTTTTTAAATTATTACTTAAAAATTTTATAATTATTTACCTTAATTATTTAACTGTAGGGGCTAGGGGCTATTAGTAATACCTTAATAAAATATTATAAATAAAATTTAGTTAAGGTGGTTAATAAAATAAAGCTAGTATTTAACCTAAATATATTTATTAGGCGTAACTTTTTTAAGTCCTAAAAAAAAGCTATTTTTATTATTATAAATATATATATATAGTTTTAAAAGCTAGAACAGGAGTACTTTAATAACTTTAGTTATAATTATTATAAAATAATACTACCCCTTACCCTTGTTCCTACTTATATAGCCATAGTTATTAAAAAAGCACTAAATAAAGCTAAGCTACTTATTAATTATTATTAATACTTTTTATTTTAGTAAAATTAATAAGCTTTAAAATATATTTATTAAATTACTTAATTACCGCCTATATATAATATTAATAAAAAAAAAGTAAAAAAAAGGCCTAATAAAGGCTAGCTAAGCAAAGCATAGCTAGCTATTATACTTTAAAATACTATTTTAAAAAAAAATAAAAAATATAAATAAAAAAAAGTCTTACTTACTAGTAAGTTTTAGCCCCTTTTTAAAAAAATATAGTAGGGTTGCACCCTAATATTAATTTTTATAATACTTATAGCCTTATTACCTGCCTTTTATACCTAGTTTATTATTTACCTTAATATATATATTTTCTTTTTTACTATTATTTTTATTTATATTATATACTATCTAGTCCTAGGTTACTACCACTATTTGGCTCCTTTAGCTCCCATGCTCTAGTACTGCCCCTCCACAATAATATTTAATATTATTATTATTATTAAACTTACATGGTATAAATCCCTAGTTATATATACTATCTTACTTAAATTTTATTATTATTTTTATTTAAATATTAATACTTCCCTTAAGGTAATTACCATGCTTATAAATATTTTTATATTTAGTTAAAGTATAATTTTATTTAAGGGTTTAATAATAGCTAAAATAAAGGTTTTTAATAAAGTAATTTTTATATATTTAGCTTATTAATAGGCTGCCCACGCATTTAAAAAAAATTAAATTTTTTTTAGTATATTATTAGCTTTAAATTATATAAAGGCCTGCTAGTTAAATAATATAAGCTATATATTATTAATAAAAAAATAACACTTTTTTTAATAAAGTGAAATTTAACTAGGAATCTTGGCTATTAACTAAGTAATATTATATATATAAATATTTATAGGCCTATATTAATACATGGGTAAATAGGCGCCTTATACTTTATTATATTTATTAATAAGGCCTTTTAGTTTTACTAGGGATTTATTATAAAAAAAAACTTTTTAAAAGATTTCTTTGACTTTATAACTAGCTATAAATATAACTAAAGTTAAAAATAAAGTATATTTACTATAATAACACCTTAAAATATTAACTACTTAAGTTATACTATAAAAATTATAGTATTATTTTTAATTTAGTATTAAAATATTACTTAGCGCTAAACCTAATTATTAAGGTAAAAAATTATTATATTATTAAACTAGTTATATTTATTATAATAAAAAACTAACTCCTAAAGTTCCTTTAAGATTACCTAGGTTTTATTATTATTTATATTTATAACTATTTTTATTATAAAATTATTAGTAAAATGTCTTATAAAGCACTTAATAAAATATAACTTAATATTTTTTATTAACACGCGCTAAAATATTAATACTTTTACCTTATTTTTAAAAAAATATATAAAATAAAAATTAATTTTTATATAGCCAAGGGGTATTTTATTAAATACTTTAAAAGTTTATATAAAGTTTATAACCTTAAATTAAAGTAGGTTATTATTATTTATAATATTATTTTTAAAAAGTTAAGTACTTTTTTTTATTATTTATTAATAAATATAATCTAAATGCTTCACGCCTTATTACTAGTAAAATAAATAAAAAAATATATTTTTAAAAATAAAAATATATACCCCCTGGCTTTAAAGCTTTATTAAATACTTATAAAAATATTTTTATTTTTATAACCCTATTTTTTAACCTTTTAAAATAAATTTAGGATAGGAAAAACTATTTTAAAAAAACTTTTTTAATAATATTACTTATAACCTAAAATAGCTTTAAAAATACTAACTAACTAGTATTTTTTTAATACCTATACTAAACCCTTTAGTTTAAGGGTTATATAATATAAAGCCTTAATATTATTTTACTTTAACCCCCCCCCTTTTTTTTAAAAAAAAATTTAAGCATAATTAATAAAATTTATAATAGCCTAGTAAAACACACCCGCGCTTTAAGAGCTAATACTTAATATTTTTTATTTTTAAAAAGTAAAATATACTACTTAAATTATTTAAAAAAGCTAAGTTAAATTATAAAAAAGCACCTTAAATTAATAAGTATAAATAAACTATTTTTTATATATAATTTTAATTTTTTTTTTAAATTATCTTGCGTGGTTTCTCGCGGATTATAAGCTTATTTTTAATAATTTTATTAATAATATTATTTTTATGGTAAACTTTAGCAAGCTAAATAAATAAAATATTACTTTTAAAACCTTAAATAATACCGGCTATAAGCTAAAAATATATATAAATATAGTTTTTTATTTAAAAATAGATAAATAATATATAGTTATTTATAAAAAACTTAATAATTATTTTTTTTAATAGCACGTGATGTGTTATTAATTATTAAAAAAAATATACCTTTTTAATTTTAAATAAGTATTTAAAATTAAATATAATAGTACTTATAAAGCTTGCTTAATTATTAAAAACTTTTATTAAATTACTAGTTATAATTACAAGATTTATAAGGTATATATAGCTATTACTAAATTAATATTTTTTAAACTTTTTATTATACTAGCTGCCTATTATAACTAGGTACTATACTTTTTTAATATTATTACTACTTTTTTATATATAAATCTTTTTAAAAAGATTTTTATTAAATTACTTAAAGGTAGTAAAATTACTAGTAAATATAACTTGCTTTTAAAAATATTATATAGCCTAAAGTAATTATTAAAAAAGTGGTATAAAATGCTTACTAGCCTTTTTATTTTACTTAAATTTATTAAAATATATATAAATTATTTAATTTTACCTGTGATTAAGTATTTATTTTTTTTATATACATAATATTATACTTTTTTTTTATTTATAAATAATATTATAAAAATTATTAAAGCGCTTAAAGGCGCCTTTAAAATTATTAATAATAAAATATTTACTTACTTTATTAATATTAATATTTACCGCGTGGTTAATAGTATTTATTTTTTTAAAAATATTATATTAAAAATATTTTAAAGTAATTTAGCCTTAAAAATTATAAAAAATTTATAACTTTATATAATTTTAAGGTTATATTATAAAAGTTTAATAGCAAGGCCTTAATAAAAAAGATTTTTTTATATTAAAAATAAATTAATATTTTTATTTAAATTTTTATTAATATATACTTAAATATTTCCTTTACTATTATACTTTTATTTTAATATATAATAATTTTTTTAAAAAATTATATTATGGCCTTAACACGTGTTTTTTATTATTTTAAAATATTAAAAAACCTTGCTATTTTTTATTAATATAAAAATAAAAATTTTATTAAATATTATAATATTAACTAGGCTAGTACTTATATTAATAACTATACCTTTATTTTTAAATATATTTTTAAGGTAGCTAATAAGCTAATTAGCTAGTTTTTTAAAAAATAGTTTATTATAGCCCTTTTATTAATAAAATTAAAGTATATTTTTTTTAATAATTATAACTTAAAAACTTTTATAATTTTAATTATTTTTTATTAAACTTAATATCTCGCGCCTTACTTTAATATAAATACTTTTTATTAAATTAATACTTATTTATATAAATAACTAAAATATAATTATTTTATTAAAAAATTTAAAAATTTATGCCTGTATAAAGTATATAATAATTAAATATTATTTTATATATAAAAAAGTAGTTACTAGTAATATTAAATTTACTTATATTAATATTAAAAAATAAGTTATTAATAGCCTTATTAAGCCCCTTAAATAGGTTTAGTATTTTTACTTTATTAAGTAACTTAGTATAAAATACCTTAGTAAAAAATAGTTTTTAAATAGCTTTATAATTTTTTATTTTAGTTTTTATTTTATTTATATATAAAGGCGGCTTATTATAATACCTTATTTATTTTTTATTACTTTATATTTTATTATTTACTTTTTATTTAAAAAATATATTTAGCTTTATTTTTTAATAAGGCTTTTAATAAAAGGGGTATTAAAATATAATATACTACTTGCCTTACTATAGCCCTTGCTTATTAGCTTAGTTAGCCACACCAAGTATAGCTTTACTATCGTGGCCTAGCTAGATACAATCTCCAAGCTTTCATCTCCAAGAAGATCAACGTTTATTATTCAGTACTAAAGCACAGCGCACCCGTCTTTCCACCACAGAAGCAGACAGCATTCACTGACTCAAATTTTATGCTGAAGACAACCTCTCCAAAACCTCCTGGCCCTTTTCATCCAAATCAGGGAACTTCCTCAAACGACGCAAATCCATCCAGAAACTCTTCGCATCTTCATGTCCATCTCCATGAGCATTAAATCGCTCTTGCAGCATTCTTTTCCACGCCGCATCATCCTCAGTCCACCTCCAAGACGCCGAAACGCATTCATACCAAACAGGATAATAGGCAGCAAACTCCCAGTCGAGTATGCCTACCAAGGCGCCGTCCTTAACCATGATATTTCCCAAGTTCAGATCGCAGTGGGTGAGAACATATGGGCGGCACTGGGGTAGAAGCTTCCCCAGATTCTCCAAGACGTGATTAGGGAGACCCCGAGCCTGGATGTTGAGATTCAAAGCCCCCCTTAGCTCAAGGTCAGAGTGAAACGGTCCGTGTGGTTCCCTGTCGGAGAAGAGCAGGCCCGGGTAACAGGGACCTCCGCCGACGCCCTGCATCGCCGTCGACGCGAGCTCTCGCAGCTTCTCGCGGACATCCACAACTTGGTCTGCGATGGCGATTTTCTGGGCCTCTGTCAACTCAGCCCAGGCCTGTTCGAGCGTTTGTCCTTCAATCCGTTTCGAGAGCACAAGTACCGTCCGTCACTGTCGACCCAATCTCGAAGGATAATCGGAGCTGGAATTTCGGGGTAGTTCGCCAGGTAATTCAGCGTCTGGACTTCGGTCTTTGGGCCTTGGTCGGGGCGTTCTTTCATAATCACGTCGGAGCCGATGCACCAGACGCCCCGCTTGCTTGCGGCGTGGAAGAGCTTGACGTGGCTTGTATAGAAACACTGCTCTTGCTGGTCAGGTGTCCAGCTACATGCCACACAGGCGTCGGATGGATCGGTCATGATGGTGAGAGAATGTGGTGTTGGTGACTTGCAGAAGAGGCGAGTGTTTACCTGACGCTTGTGATGTGCGTTGGAAATAGAGACCAGAATTACCGGGATCAGAAGGCTCTACTTTGTCTAAGCTTCACTTCTGAAACGCACAAAGCTAGCCAACAACGTCTATAAGCGGCCACCATTGCTGAATTCTCACCGCAATATTACATAGACCAGCTTTGGTACTTTATACCAGCATCTTTGGCTGTGCTCAAAGCCCCCCGAGAGCAGGTATTTGAGAAGCACAACAAAATGCCAACCAACAGAGTCCATTTCTCAAAACTAGGTTTCTGCGTCTATTGTATTAGGTATGGCACATGATAGGTTTCGATTCTCCCCTCGCCTGTGTCTGGCACAAACGGTCAAACTAGATTAAATCAAGAGCAAGAACACAAAGCCTCTCCGGGGTTCCATAGTCTACCACCCCGGCAATTTCTGTATAAAGTGAATGGAATAGCACCGCTTCTAATCTTCAGGAAGCTGGTTTTAAGGCTACCTTTTAGTTCTGCCAACTTACCGACCTGGCTCATTTGGCCATGGCCGGCATTCTACAAAGTTCCGTCGCCAATTTCTCATGATAGCCAATATATCCGGTCAATTATGTGCTCATTCCGGGTCAAAAGTACCCGTCACCGAGCAGGATGCTTGGAATACCTGCACTGCACCCTTTCAAATTTGAGCACAATTGCCTGCGTCTGGAGGACATGATTAGAACCTTGACAACAGTGTTCATCACTGATCTCATATAAGCAACGCTGATATAATTCCCTCGACAACCATGTTCTTCTCACTCCCGCTAGCCATCCTCTCCTTTGCAGTCCTCACCCTCCAGGTGAGCGGCGTCCACAGAGGGCAGCCAGGAGTCGACGCCACCTTCGACTACGTTGTCGTCGGCGCTGGCACCTCTGGCTTTACACTCGCGTCTCGACTTGCCGAAGCCAACTTCACCGTGGCCCTGGTCGAAGCCGGCGACTTCTACGAGCTCGTCTGGCCCTTCCCCATAATCCCCGGAGCCGTTGCTCTCGGTATCGGCGCGAGCCCGACCTCAACAACACCCATTGATTGGCAATTCATCACGCAGCCTGTCCCAGGCGCGAATAATCGGGCAGTGCACTACTGCCGACATCGAACATTCGGGGGCTCTTCAGCTGCGAATGCCCAGATATACCAGAGGTTGTGTTGCGGACTTTAATTTCTTCAGATCGAATGCTAATTGATTGACGCTCTAGACCAGATCGAGACTCAATGGACCGCTGGGCCGAACTAGTCAACGACTCCTCCTGGAGCTTCGACAGCGTCTTCCCCTTCTACCAGCGAACGCCGACATTCCACCCACCAGACAACGCACAGCGTCCGCCAAACGCCACGGCAGACTATAATCCCGATGCGTTCTCGCCTACCGGCGAGCCGCTGCATGTCTCGTATCCGATTGACAACATTGTCTTCTCAACCTGGATGGTGCGCGGCATGCAAGCGATTGGTATACCGGAGACCCAGGACTTCAATAGCGGCCAGCTCCTGGGTGCACAGTGGTGCGCCTTTACAGACCGCCCCTCCGATCGAACGAGAAGCAGCTCGGAAGCAGCATTCATGGGGCGAGCGAATAACGACGTGCTCCTGGCGACGCTGACGCTGTATAATGTGACGATGGGCAAGAGGGTACTGTTTGATGAGAACAAGAGGGCGACGGGCGTGGAGGTCCACTCCGAAGACCACAGCGATGTTTACACGCTGCATGCAACCCGCGAGGTCGTCGTGTCGGCGGGTGCGTTCCAGAGCCCGCAGCTCCTGATGGTCTCGGGGATCGGGCCGGCAGATACATTGAGCAGGTATAGTATCCCGCTGGTTGTCGATTTGCCTGGTGTAGGGCAGAACATGTGGGACCATCTACTCTTCGGTCCGTCGTACCGGGTGAATATCTCCACGAACTCCAGGATCCCATATGACTTTGTCTACACCCTTGAACAGCTCTCCCTTTACATCACCCAGCGGCGTGGTGTATTCTCCAACCCGGGAGCCGACTACCTTGCCTGGGAGAAAATCCCAGACGATCTCCGGTCTCAGTTCTCACAGCAAACATTAAACAATCTCTCCTGGTTCCCGCCTAGTTGGCCAGAGGCTGAGGTGCGTCCTCTCCCCCCAATTC